TCTCCTCTACTTCTCACAACCTGCTTCAGCAGTGTTTCAGGGTTTCTCCTGTTTTCCATGTCAGTGTCGTTGAGAATGTCAGAGCTTCAAGCACACAGTGCTGTTTAATGATGATCACGTGATCCAGGTCAGTCTGCACCTGCACTGACCTTGAGTTGTCTGTTGGATCGAGCTGGTAAAGGGTCCAGTTGTAATGAGTACCGTTATTTTCTTCCGATTTTATCTTGACGGCTGTTGGGGCTCAAAGTTTTGAGTGCTGAATATCATTTTGTCAGTAATGCATAACTGATTGTAATTGTTGAAATAACCATATAAGGCATGTATCATTTACTGCTTACTTAGCTAAAAAAAAAATCAGCTGTTAATGTAATAAGGTAGCACTAATCAGTGTATTTTGAAATTAATGGGTGTACTATTAGTAACCGTTTGAACTATGCTGCCATCTTCAGGACAATATGTGTTATAGCATTTAAGGATGTGGGTTTTTTTTGTTGTTGTTTTTTTTTTTTAAATGAACAAGCTGATGCCGCTGCTAAGGAAGCTCATAATCAAGAAGTTAATAATTGTCAAATTCCTCCATCAGATATCAGGCCGATTATTAACCGATATATTTTAAATAAGTGGCAAGAAGAGTGGAATATGTGCAAGAATAATAAGATGTATGAAACTCATCTGGAAATAACAAACAGACTTTCTACCAATTTTAAAACTAGACTTGATCAAGTGGTCTACACCAGATACCGTATGGGTCATACATGTTTGACCCATGCTTTTTTGCTTAAAGGTGAAGACCCAACTTTATGTATGTTTTGTTCAATTCAATGTTCAATTCAATTTTATTTAAGTATAGCACACTTAAAACAACCAAGGTTGACCAAGGTGCTTCACAAGATAGATACACCACAATGCAAGACTCACATGATAAATAATAAAGCACTAAAATATTCTATAAATATTTTGTCAAATTCCTTTATCTGTCCTGGACTTAGCGCAAGCAGAAGGCTCTTTTATGAAGTTACTTCTTTGAAGGACATATTTAATGAGATTATGCCTGAAAAGGTTCTGGATTTTTTTTATCATACGTTAATTTAAAAATAAATATATATATTGTATAATATGACTTCTTGTTTATATTTGTTTTGTTTTTGTTGTATTTATGTGATGTTTGTATTTTTGTAAATGATTTTTTGCCATGAAAATAGCTCTGACTGCTGACATGGCATGAAATAAAATAAACTGAATCTTTTTCTTTTTTTTTTTTTTTTTTGAGACAGCCTTTTATCCTAATTTAAAGTTCAGTGCAAACAGAAAATGTACTAAAGAACAGATAAAGGACTTTGAACTAGTAAACTGGGGAAACGTAAAAGGCATTAGCTTATGTCTCATCCAGCGCTGCAACTAAATCGTTTTGCCATAAACAGAGCTGTAGATCATTCCCCATCACTTGACTGCTGTGGTTTTCCCTTTTATTCTCTGGTTGAAGGGAGTGTGCTAACTAGGGCTGTGCCATATCATACCGTCCACGATAATACCGGTATAAAATTTTACATGATAAAAAATTGTCATATCGCGATATTGATGATATGATGACGTATGGCGTATTTACGTTACTTAGCGCGTGCACAACAACACAGCAGCATGTCAGCCTCCGGATCAGATCAAGATTTAGTTCCTAAAAAGGGCGCTACTTCAATAGTATGGAAGTTGTTTGAGTACAAGAGGTCAGATCTCCAACAACACAATTATTATTATTATTTTTTTGTCAAATATGCATGAAAACTCGTTTCACCACCCTACTAGCGTACATTTTGCATTCGCCTAATCTTCCTTCAGAGTTTCCGCAGTTCGGGTACAACAGTCAACACGATTAAACTCTTTCTAAGATGATTCAATGTTACTATTATTATATTTGTAAATAGAAGTTCTATGCTTTCGCATAAAACAACTTTATCTTGCTGGACTTTATTGCTGTAACGTTAACTAAATCATCATGTTACTTTCTACCGGCCGGGTGTCTGTCACTAGAGTCAGAGCACTATTGTTCATCACGCCCACAGTAACTGAAATGTAAAACTGTTAAAAGAAAGGACTCGATAAACGATTGCATAGCTAGATGCTGTATATTATACACGACGCTACGCATCAATATTTATTTACTTTGTGCTTTGAACTGTTCAGTGCGGAGTATTCGACGCGCTGCGCGTGCGCGCTGTGACTCCGTGTTGCTTCAAGCGCATCATTCAGCGCTCGGGATGCGCATAAGCGCTGTGCGATATATTGGAGCCTTTCATATCATAATACTTTTGCGCAATGAAAGATTATTAATAGCCTTTGTTCTGTCCTATCGATCATATGTTGCTGCCTCATTAAACAGCTGTGCTATTCATTTTAAACATGCCTCAATTTTATAGTAGACTAGGCTATATAATAATTAATCCTTTTGATTTGTTACCTTGTTTTTTTTCATGAATGTACAATACAAAGAGCAATGTGTAAAGTTTTACCAGATTTAGTGTTACAATTGTCTTATTTATTCCCCACTAATTTTTTTTTTTCCCTAAATGTTCCGATTTTATACAATTATTGTATAAATTAGGTATTGTATACCTCATTTGATGCTAATCCAAAAACTATGCAAGGCAACTGTTACATTTTGAAGGTTTGTTTGGATTGCCGCTGTTTGTTTACATTTTTTGTACTTCAAAGTTTAGGTAAATTTTATTAGGTGACAATATTGTGCAGGCTTCTGAAGTTATTGTATTACTGTAGTTATTGTTAAAATAAAATGATAAGGAGTTATGTTATACTTTTTTTTTTGCACTAATGCTGCTGCCAGCCAGCTGCAATCACCAATAAAACATTGTTTCATATATATTTTTTCTATATCGTGATAAATATCATTATCGCAAATATTCTTGAAATATCGTGATATAATTTTTAGGCTATATCGCCCACCCCTAGTGCTAACACAGACCAGTGGTGCTGTAATATCAGCTACTCTAGCTCAGCCAATCAGACTCCAGGATCAAAACTAACTAATGTGTGATGATTTACGCCCTTTACATGTGCAATTTAATGCATTTGAGTTTTATTCTATTCTGTGTGATTTTATAAAAAACATTTGAGGAACATTTGACTCTGATTGAATCTACTGGGCTATTTAGATCATTAAAGTCTCCCTGTAGTCATTTTATCCCTCAATACTCCTCTGTGATCACCAAAATGAGGCTGATCGGTAGTAAATGCTGCTCCATCTGAACACCAGAGGGCGTCTCACACACACACGTTTGCATTGAGTAATAAACTGTATAGTCACCAAAAGAGAATTCAGTATGAAAGGCCATCCAAACATGAAATTTGACTAAAAAGAGAAGTTCCTCATTGTTTCCATTGACAACTATTTTACAGCGTTATAACGGATTACAGTTGACTTGCAATGTTAAATTACTATTTTTAATATTGTAAATATTCGACTTTGTAAAATTGCAACCTTGTTTAATGTGTATATTCCTATGGAAATTTGCTCAGATTTTTTTTTACATACTTACTTCCTGGCAATATTCTGGATCGATGTCAATCATTGATGTTTTAAACCCTGATTTTTGGGATTTCTTTGAACATGAGCTAGCCTACATTTTTGAGGAACTTTATGTAACTGTAACCAAATATTTTCTAGCCTTGCAAAACATTTAGACGACTAAAGTTGTGTCCTTACCACTTCTCGATCATTACAAATGTTAACCATAACAGTAGTAATAGTTGTATATTGTTGTACAGCATTGCACTCATAAATGCCAAATTATGATCATTCCAAGAGATTGCTCGGAAAAGTTAATTTGTTATCTGTAGCATTTTGACGTATTTTTTCCTAACGTGCATACGTTGGACTCAGGGCCTGAAGTTAATTTTTTTGGCCACCGGCCACTGTGGCAGGTGGATTTAAAAATTCACCTGCCACAGAGACTTTTTACCAGCCTTTTTTTTTTTTTTTTTTTTTTTGCCTCATACGTTAAAAACAAAAAAACGGGAATTTCACAATATTGTTCTTTAACTTGTAAGAATACACATTTAAGTGCTGTCAAGTAATAATAACTCTAATAACATAATTTAAAAAAAAATCTTTTTATTCATTGATTTTGACAGACACACACACACAACATATATAGTATAGGCTATAATATAGTATATCTGTTGAGTACAGATAGACCTACCGCAGCTCGTAAACAAATCACACGCGGCTGTGTTGATGGCGGATTTAGTCACGTAGACAGGTCTTACTCTTAACAGCTTTTAGTTACAGCGTTCAGGAACCGTTAACTATGAACTAAATTAATACTGTTATACTGATAAAATTACCGGGTACCGGACATTTTCTCACCGGTTCCCAACTCCCAACATGCACAGTTGCACACGCACACACATCTGTGCAACTGTCATTGTACTGTAACCTGCAACAGCGACGTGTTACATTATCTCATCCCATCTCACCAACAGTTTAATACTCGCACACGTAGTCAGAAAAAGAGCCTCATCTTCTTTCTGATCGCATGAACGTTACGAAACAACAGTCGCTGTCATAAATCAGCCGCTCACGAACCTTGCCATTGCCGCCGATTGTTCACTTTGCATTAAAATGTCTTCTTTACTTTTCTTTTTCTCATCCTCATCTTTTTGTTGGCTGTTTGTTTTGTTTCAGCTGGCCTCTTTACCCCAGTAATGTGCCGCCACATTTTAGCTAAAGTCCAACGCAATAGCGCAGCGGACTTCCTTGAAATGTAAAAATCCTAATGAATCACTCACAATTCTCATTGGCTACCTGCCAATGTGGCAGGTAGATTGACAGTGTTACCCGCCAATAGCAAAATTCACCCGCATTTGGCAGGTGGTCGGGTGTTAATTTCAGGCCCTGGTTGGACTACATCTGTCGCACATTTCCAGTGCTTTTCATTTGGTTGTCAGTCTTACAAATATGCATTTCTGTCTTCTCTCTTCAATTGCAGAAGATGCTAAGATAGTGGGTGAGCGACGCGTGCGTGCTGAGGTCAAGTCCGTTCTGTCGTGGCAGTAGACGAATGGCACAGGGAAACCAGCAGATTGACAACCAGGTTCTGCACCACCTGCGGCAAAAGTTTCCAGAAGTTCCAGAGGGCGTGGTGTCTGAGTGTGTCCTACAGGTGCGTTAGACATGCTCCCCTTCCCCATCCATGTCCCGTGTGCTAATTATACTAGGATCATTATCAAATGTGTTTCTGTAAGCCTAAGTACTTTGAACATCCTTTTGCAATTCGTCTCGACCCAGCATAATTTGTCACAAGTTGGTCTGAAATCAAAAGTGTATTTGCGCAAAATTTATCAATGCAATGCAACCAGCTGTCATGTAGAGAAGGCTTTCAACAATCTAGCCCGTTCCTGGTGAATAAAATAAAATCTCAAACTACACTTGCATTTTAGGGTGTTTTTTTTTTTTTTTTTTTTGCATTTGCTTTAATTTAGCAGACACTCTGGAAACACTCGATTATGCATTAGTTAAGCAGGAACATACTTAAATAATTAATGATTAACTTAACATTATAGTCAGGAAACATTAGCCATTGATGGACACACATTCATGCGATAAATAAGCTACTAATTAATGATTAACTGAATGTACAGTAAACGCCTTTTAGACAATATTTACAACTTGGCAAACCATATATTATTTTTGTTTAGTAATGTACTAGTTATTTTTCAGTGATTCGCCATAGATCAAGTTAAAGCGAGACTCCACTTTTTCTTGAAATAGGCTCATTTTACAACTCCCCCAGAGTTAAACAGTTGAGTTTCACCGTTTTCAAATGCATTCAGCCGATTTTCTGACATTTAGAAGAATATCAGTAACCAGACAGTTTCTGGTCTCATTGACTTCCATAGTATATTTTTTTCCTACTATGGAAGTCAATGAGACCAGAAACTGTCGGGTTACTGGTTGAAACTGGCTGAATGGATTCGAAAACGGTAAAACTCAACTGTTTAACTCTGGGGGAGTTGTAAAATGAGCCTATTTCCAAAAAAAGTGGAGTATCCCTTTAAGTGAACAACGTGAAGCTAGCAACTGTTTAATTAGTGCTGGTTTTACCGTTATAAATTGCTAAAATAGTGTAATAAAGACAATTTCACCCCCTGTTCTAAAGTGAAAATTATATCCATATTACAACTTAAACCACATATTATTTTTGTGTAGTAATGTACTTGGTTATATTTCAGTGATTCACCATAGATCATCTAGTTAACTAAACAAAATCAAGCTAGTAACTGTTTAATTTGTGCTGGTTAATAGTAATAAATTGCTAAAAAAAAATGAAGACAATTTGACTTCTTTTTCAAAAGTGAAATTTATATCCACATTAATTACTGCACTTGAGCGAAATTTAGGTTTATTGACAAGAATGCGCCAATAATTATGGCTAAACTACCACTAATACAGGACTAATAAAGACTATTTGACCACCTGTTCTAAAGTAAAAGTTATATCCTCAATAAATATGGCACTTAATGAGTGGTCTTATTGTTAAAAAAGTATTAATGTGCAACTTTTACAGATACAAAAGTACTTTTTTTGTAAATGCTGAAACGTACAACATGGATGTATTGGCAACATACACATAATACAAGATATTTACAAATCTTTTATATTATAATGATATATTATTTTTTATCTTTTTATAGATAGATGTAGGGCTGTGCAATAGATGAAAAAATTATCACGATATAATGTTTCATATCGTTCAGTATCGATAATTATTGACATCTTTTAAAAAAATGTTTTAAAGTAGGAAAGTTTTAATTTAAACCACTGTTTTTTTTTCCCCATATTATTAAGGCAAACAACAAATTATATTAGTTTTAGCAGTCAAAAACAAAAATATGATGTAACAAAAATATGTTGTTTATGTCTTATAGTAAGATTAAAAAGTAAGTGCTTAAAATTTTGCAGAATGTGTGTCATGTAAAAGTGTAAACAATGAGCAATCTTGGCAAATTTTGAGGTAACGTTAGATAACATCTGTAATAATAAGTTGGGGTGTAACGGTTCACAAAATACACAGTTTGGTTCGATACGACACAGTGGTGTCACAGTTCAGTATGTTGTCAATACAGCAAAAAGAAAGAAATGCCAGAGAATTTTCCTTTTTTGTTTATAAACAATTATTTATTAAAAGAAAAATATTTTTAAATAAATATTTTAAAATATTTTCCTACATCTTGAAACTTTTTGTTTTATAAATGGGGGTAATCTGAAGGATGAACAAATAATGTTTTGGTCATCACATTAAAAATAACAATTAAAATTTTGAGTTTTGAAGTGCTGGAAAAAGATGTGTGACGTACTTGAAATGATTTTAACAATTACTGCCAAACGTCCATGGTTAGTGTTACTACATCCATGTAAATGTTGCCGATTTGATTGCTTAAAGCCTATAATTCGGCTTTCATTACACTTGCCATTTGGCAAAGTTGTGGCGTGACCGCTAACAAAATGTTGGTCGCACAAGCATGAAAATTTGTCCAACGAATCGTTCGGTTTGTAATGCGAACCAAAAGCCTTGTACTGAATGGTTTAATGGGGTGGTTGAATATGATTTCACTTTTTCTAATTCTAAAATCCTAGCCACCAAGTTTCAAGTATGAGATAGATTAGTTTACTAGCTTGTAAAGCATAACTCAAATGTTGTAAAGAAGAGAGAGAGCAATATATTCTTTCATTGAAATTACTATTTTATTCAGAAACAGGCCAGATTATGAAAGTAAAATGAGTTTCAAAAGCCATATCACACTCACGTTAAAGAAGACTTACAGAAGATAACCCTTTAGGAACAGTCAGCATTTTACAAAGAACATTATATTTGCACTATATTTAGAGACGATTTATTGCGCTGATACAACATCCAATATATATTTTAAAGGAAATCGATTTAAACATTTGTTAATTAATTTATTATAGAACAAAATTGAAGATTACTACTGGGGAAAGTTGTCTCCCAGGGTCAACTTTCCAGCTTTTATCAGATTTTTGCAGAATATATAAGCTATATTTGATTGGCAATGGGAGAAAAATAAATCTTTGATGAATCACTGGTTTTCCCTCAATGATTCTCAATCAATTTTTAAGAATTACATACCTGATTCTGAGTTTAATTTTTCACCTTTGCTGCATGATGGCACTTACGGCAGACGGAGATATTCTCCGCTTGCTGCCAATCCCACAAAAAATACTCCTATCGAAACGTCCTAAATAACGGGACGGTCTAAACAAATTACTAGGACAATCACAGACTTCATTTGCACAGGTAATTCACTGTGGGAAACCTGGGGTTGTGCTCAATATATTTCTATGCTTGCAATGTGCAATGCAATGAGGCATTGTTTATGTCAATTGCAATGCAGTATGTATTCATAACTCACTGACTGATGTTGTTCAGTAATGACGTTTGTAATGTAATTCTTGGAATTATTATCCTCATGAATTATAATAATTATGAAATGAGATGATAATATGAACAGCAACGAAATGCCACTGGGGTCTGTCGCCACCAAATCTAAGGGGTGGGGCATCTCACCCCAGGGGTATATCTTTAAATTTAGCTTCTACCCCAGACATATCTGAAGCTGACGGATTCGTCTCACTCTTCTCTCCTCAGAATAAAAACGATTTGGCTGCATGTTGCGAATACCTGGCCAAGGTGAGTCCTGGGTTTTTGTATAGTGAAGGCAGCCAGAGTTTGACAGATCTTCGTAATCACATGACCCAACTCAACCTCGGCGTCTCTCAGAATACCCATGGTGCAGTGCAGCGAGATGTAGTAAGGATGAATGGAAGTAGGACTCTCACCCCCAGTGTGAGCGATGGGCCTTTAAACGTGTTGTCTCCCCTCTCCGAGTTCTACCAGCCTGAAACGCCGTCTGTGCCTTCACACACGCCCACAAGCCTCAGTGCATTCACTGCCATGGAGTCCACTCGTAAGCCGCAGCCTCCTCAGCACCTTGGCCTATACCAGGTTGGGGGCAAAGGTCACGGACCACCGCCAACCCCGCGCTTCAACCCGATCACAGTGACGCTCGCACCCAACACCGGCCGAAATACACCTACCTCCCTGCACATACATGGAGGGCCTCAGTCGGGTCTGAACAGTCCGAACTCCATCTACATTCGCCCGTACGTGACCCAGCCGGGCTCGACGCGACAGGTACAAGGACGAGCGCAGTACAGTCCCACCTCCCAGCCTACCCAGCAGATCTATCAAATCACTCATCCTGCAGCTTCCCAGAGTTCGTGGAGCGGCAGCCAGCATCAAACCTCACACGTGTACATGCCTATCAGTTCGCCCACCAACACCCAAGCCCCCTCCATCCCCTCGGCCGTGGCGTCACAGGCCTCCTCTTCGTCACCCTCGCCTTCCTCTTGCTCATCTGCTGCCTCCTTCAGCCAGTACAACATCCAGAACATCTCAACTGGGCCTCGGAAGAATCAGATTGAGATAAAGTTGGAGTCTCCACAGAGGGGGGCTGGTGGTTCGAGCACGCTCCTGCGCTCGGGCTCCTCCCCGCGAGCCGCCTGCAGCTCCACATCTTCGTCCTGTCCCTCGTCGTCTTCTCTGGCTGCCAGCACGGGTCCCTCCGCCCCCATCTCAATTGGAGGAGCTGGGCTCAGTCGCAGCCAGCCCACGGTGTACATCTCTGCGTCCCCACCCACTGCTGCTACCACCCCATCGGACGACTGCGCCATTGTTCCCAACACCCCCCGCTCGCAGCCCAAGTTCTACATTTCTGCAAACACGTCAGCCGACGACGGAGGGGGAAGGAACCCGCCCACAGTCTATATCTCGGCCAATCCGACGCTGCAGGGTTCTGCTGGCCTGCGGGCTTTAGGGAGCCAGGTGAGCATGGGACCTGCATATATACACCACCACCCACCCAAATCTCGTCCCTCGGTGGCAGCTGGAGGCACTGCCACGTCTCCTCGTGTGGTGGTAACACAGCCCAACACCAAGTACACCTTTAAAATCACTGTCTCCCCCAATAAACCACCAGCTGTGTCTCCTGGAGTGGTATCGCCAACGTTTGAGCCAACCAACCTGCTCAGTCTACCTGGCGATCACCATTACGCGGAGCCGGATCCCCTGTACCAGTCTGACCCACTTTCGCCTCACCGGGACAAAAGCTCAGAGCCTCGCAGACTCAGCATGGGTGCAGACGACGCTGCATACACACAAGGTACGTTCATCTCTTGTATTGGTTCTGCTAGTGAACTGTGTGACGCACATAATTGTTCTTTGGTGGGTCATGTTTATTTAGAGTCCACTTTAGACTTTCTACTTGTCAACTGACTTTCATTAGAGTATTAGTAGACGGTTAGGTTAGGGTGGGTAGAATAAGTTGACATTTAGTTGCAAAGTTACTGATTTCTGTTGGGGATCTTCATAATAAAGTGTTAGCAGATATATTAAGCAGAAAGTCTACTCTAATGAATGCTAGTTGACATAGTGGCAAAGGTATAGTGTCTGAAATGGACTGCCTAGTGTTACCGAATGGTGGCGAATATGAATTTTATATATTATGTTACATTTTAAGCCATATTTTCAAGATTTCTACAAGAGTTGTCCTCACTGCCAATGTAGGTTTCAGATTTTTTTTCTTTTATTTGCTCAGTTTATATTTTGTTTCCCTTTAGACAAGTACCTGAAAGTGGTAGTTCTGTACTAAAGTGTGCTACACCAAATAATTCATCTTCTGCTTTTACCTCTTGCTCAGTTAATATTGAGAATAATGTCAGAGCCGTTCACAATAACTTGTGTCCTATGTAAATATACTGCAAAGCATGCTTTTTGTAAAACATTTTTCCACTTTTTCCGCAAATTCGGAATACGAGGAGATTTTTGCCAAAATGAGAACAAAGACAAGCTCATAACAATCTTCAATCAAAGCCGTTTACTCGTTAACTTTCATTGGTTATTATAATAGGGATGAAAGCCCAGCTCTTTGAGGCTGTGTGTAAAATGTAATGAACAGTGGCAGTGTTGTGTTTGCCTTATATGGATATTTTTGTGTAAAGTAGGTTTAAATTTTTGAGGTAATTTATTCCAAAAGCTTGTCAAAGACTCTTAAGATGATCTTTAGCATTCAATCTAATGTTCTGGCATCATTAAACTATGTGGAAGCTGTTAATGGTTGGTGTGTGTTATATTCGTATTTTGACACATTTGTTTGTGAATGTGAGATTACTATTATTGGAAGGTTGGGTTACCTAGAAGCTCTGGTCATTTTAATCCTGTCTGACTCGACCATCCAAGTAGTTTTCCCAAACTTTGTCTGGACATTCATGTGCCAGTAAATATTTCAGCATCTTTTGCCAATAAAATTAACCCAAGTAGAAATAGTCCAGCCAGGGCTGCCATGGACGACACTTGTCCAGCCTATAAGCCCAATTGCTTTATCGACAGGATTATATAATGAGGTGCATGTGTGTTTGGCATGCGTTTCTGAAGAAATATATATTCTTTATTGTCCAGTAGAGGATTACATATTAATGTCAATAGTTCTGTTGTATTTTGAAATACAATCATGATTCATATTTTCTGCATAATTAATTGCCACAAATACATTTGCTTTTATAAATTAGATTTCTTACCTTTAAATGTTTAAAGTGGTTTCATGTTTAAAATGAATATTCAGTACCATTCTTTTTACCTTTTAAAATCAATATTGATTTTAGTAAATATTAAAATAAAATGCTTCAGTTTCCATCTCCTGGTCAAAAAGCTTTCTCAAAAGTGGGCGAAGGAGGAAATCCACAATCCCCCACAAACACTCATTCACCAGCTTATTTTACAGTCCAGACAGTGTCTGGTTGATGAACTCAGTCCTGCCTAATTTGTCAAATATTTTGTTTACTCAAATTCAAATATTTCACATTATGGGAGGAAGCTGAATCCTTAATGGGATTTGAATGCTGTTTTATCACTTCATAGACTCTTTAGTTTTGTACATGAAGTTGTGCATGTATCTGATAATTACTTGTGTGTATTTACAGCTTTGCTAGTGCATCAGAGGGCACGCATGGAGAGATTGTGGCATGAATTAGAGCTGAAGAAGAGAAAGCTGGAGAAGCTGAAAGAGGAAGTCAACGAGATGGAAAATGACCTCACAAGGAGACGACTGCAGCGCTCCAACTCAGTCAGTCAGATACCATCTGTACGTTAATATACCTCTTCATTTCTCTTTCTTTCTAACTAGGGCTGTCACGGTGAAGGATTTTCTCTTGCAGGGACTTTGAGTGAATAAACGCACAGGAGAATAACACAAACCACATAATGCATAAACGAGAACTGACCAAGAACATCTGAAACTAGGGCTGCACAATCAACCGAATTTAATCACAATTACGACTACGGATGTGACGATACCCTTAAATGTGTACAGAATGATACGACAAAGGCCTCGTTTACACTGCAGGTCTTGATGCCCAATTCTGATTTTTTTGCCTATATCCGTTTTTTGGGGGTTTTTTTTTGACCGTCCGTTTACACGTTCTTTAAATTGTGACCCACATCCGAGTCATGTGTTTAGACTTGACACCTGAAACATCGCGCATGTTTAACGGGGTCTTCTCGCACAGATGGACGAACGCGCAGCGAGATCTCAGTACTGGTGGGAACATCGACGACAACACAATCTCATGAAAGTGAGTGTCTGTAGCACAAATTTTATTTCTCGTGCCATTTATATGCCAAAAATAGTTTTGCTTGTAGATGCGCTCTGTAAACGTGCGTATTAAATACCATAAAGTGCGTATCATACACGCAAAATCTATTTTTGGCGTAAATGGCACGTGAAAAAAAATTGTGCAATAAACGCACTTTCACAAGATCGTTTGGGCTTTAACGAGGAGCAGTGGGTCCAAAATTTTAGGATGAGTAAGACAAGCTTTGATATGTTGTCATTGTGTCCACATTCCTCTCCTATACGACGTTTCGTTGGGCCATCCGTCCCTTTGCAGATGTGTGTTGGGGTTCCTCTCGTCATTAAACCGCTACTAAATAAAAATGTATATTTTTGTGCATTTATTTAAAGACGGCAAGTACCCGTATTTTCCACACTATAAGGCGCACTTAAAAGCCTTCAATTTTCTCAAAAAACGACAGTGCACCTTATAATCCGGAGCGCCTTATATATGGATCAATTGGTTAATAACGCTCTGCGTTACCTTACCTAACGCTAACGCTCAGCCTTACCTTACAAAAAACTAAAGACCAACAACAACATTTTCCAAACAGAAATGTTTCATTTCAAATTATAAATTAGGACTAGCAAGAAAAGGAATGTAGCATACACAAAAAGTCCTGTAAAATTAAACGAATAAATGGGCCTAATAATATTAATACAAATTTTATAAACAAAAATATACATAAAAGTTTTAAAAGTAAATTAACTATAGGCTAGAATTTTGATAACTGAACTTTTGCCCAACGCACACGATAAAAATGTAAATGGGTTAATAACCATTGTACACACAAACTGCTGTAAAATTAAACGAATAAAGTAGGTGTGCTAACATTTGCTCTGACAACATTGATTAAAATTAGGGCTGTGCAAAAATTAATTGCGATTAATTGCATCCAAAATAAAAGTCTGTGTTTACATAATATATTTGTGTGTGTGTGCTGTATATATAAATACACACACATGCATGTATATATTTAAGAAAATGTGTTATTCATAAATAAAATATTTATATTTATATAATATAGATTATGTATTTGTTTTATGTATATATATATACAGAATTTAAGCGCAAAATAATTATATACAGCACACACAAATATATTATGTAAACACAGACTTTTATTTTGGATGCGATTAATCGCAATTAATTTTTGCACAGCCCTAATTATAATTATGATTCTTTACTAAATTGGTTGATAGTTTTCAAATACGCTGAAAGTGTATATATTCTATGTATGTTGCGTCAGAGCTTGAAGTCTTTAGCACAATTGAGTCGTAGAGGTGCTTTTACAGGGTCTGTCGGTCTGTCTCATTAGTTTGGCCTCATAAATAATTGTTACATCATGTCGATCCAATATGAGCATAACACCATGGCGGATTTGAACACTTCCACTTATGTCTTTATTTTCAGATTGAGGAGATGCAACAGCTGAGGTGTAAGAATAGGCTTCTACAAATCGATATTGATTGTTTAACCAAAGAGATTGACCTCCTTCAGACACGAGGTGAGAACCATGAGCTGCTGTGCTGTTGGCAATCAACAACAAACTCTTGTTTGTGTTTACTCTTGTGTATGTCATTCGTCCATCATCTTTGCTTTATTTTGTCACTTCTGTAGGCTGTGATGAAGGGGTGTTTTAGTACTAGAGATCGCCTGATAATAGATCTTACCAATTGTTTGCAAGCATTTTTCCATAAACGTGTTTCTGTTTGGTAATATCAAAGTCATCAATAATTGGCTCCATCTTGTGGATGTTTTGAGAATTACACACAGGACCACCATTAAAGAGGTCATCGGATGCCCATTTTACACAAGTTGGTATGGTTCTTTAGGGTCTTCATGTAAAGTTTGTAACATACTCTGGTTTAAATTCCTAAGTCAGGACACCCCTATGTTAAATTCTCATAGATGCCAATCTCTAGGTATGGGGAAGGGTGTGTCTTTATCTTAACTTTACATTATTCATTCACAAAGAAAAATTAGTCCTTAAAGGTTGGATTTCTCCTCATTTTTTTAGTTAAGGCATTAAGATAAATTTCCTCTGCTTTAATCAACTTTAGCATGGGTGTGTTCACATATTCTAAGCACTGTCAAAGTGACATTTGCATCCGATGACCCCTTTAAAGTAGTCGTCGGTGTTCAAAGTCAAAGTAACTTGCCTCCCTTAATTAATAATATGCATATTTAATTAATATTTAATGTATATTTAATTACGTTTCATATGAACAGCTGTTCCATAAATAGACTAATGTAAATCTCACAAACTTGTACAAAAGTACACATCTCTGTAATGTAGAAAAGTGACTTTAACTTCTGTGTGTGTTTCTTTTTACTAGTTTATATAACTTGGAAAGCCTCATGTCATTGTGGATGGCATTTAAGGAACACATTGAGGAGCTTCATTTTGTATTTTATGATCGTTTTGCCTGTTGCGTGTGTGCATTTTGAGAAACAAATCAAGAGGGATGACTCTATTTTTTTTAAATGTATCATCTTCCTAAAGTAATGCTGCTTAGTTCAGGTTCTCTTATTGGTCCTGTTTTATGTTAATGTGCAGGGCTGAACGATTAATTGCATTTGCGATAATATCACAATTTGATAAAACAAGATTTTATGAACCACAAAAGCTGTGATTACACTCTGGTCACGTGGCACGTGAGAGAAAAGCACTCTGCAGATATAGCATCAACTTGGCACGCTACACAGGAAAGGACAGTTTATGTTTGATTTACGTGATATATATATATATATATATATATATATATCATAGAATCGAGTCTGAGTGTAGTTTTTAAACAGATGCGTAATGACGCTGCGTGTGCTTAAAGCAGTGTTGTAGTCGAGACCACCTCACTCGAGTCTGAGTCGAGACCGAGACCAGAGAGAGTCGAGTCCGAGTCGAGACCGAGACCAGTGAGGGTTGATTACCTAATTTACTTTTATTTACTTAGAGAAATCCTTTTTTTTTTTTTTTACTGAATTTACTAAGAGTTTAAAAAATATGATCAGTTTAGGGTAAAAAGGCCACATAGTAGGTGGTGTTAAAAGTAATTTTATTACAATTTGTCATGCGCAGTTGCGCACTAGAAAATCACCAATCACTGGGCGTGTCAATCAATTTAAAGAAATATTTTATTAACATACATTAATAATCATGAAAAATATTTTGAATTGAACTCGAGTGGACTCGGGAATAAGTCCGAGTCCTAAAAAAAAAATGTTCGAGTACGAGTCAATTCCGAGTCCAAATGCACACGAGTCCATGACAAGACCAAGACCATTAAAATATGGTCTCGAGACCGAGTCCGAGACGAGTCCGAGTCTCGAGTACTACAACACTGGCTTAAAAGCCAATTTACACTTCTGCGTAGGGTGCGCGCAGTATGTACGGCGTAGCATACAGACGCGTACCTTACCACGCACCCTTCGCCGTAGCCGGACACGCACCTCCTCAAAAATATAACTACATGTCACGACGACGCGGACCGCAAGATCTGTGATTGGTCAGCTTGGTAGCATCGCATTTCCTCATACGCATTTCCGCACGTACCATCTCCTCCGACGTCTTCTCTCGTTTCTGCCTTTTAGTTTTAGTAATTTCACTAAAATTAACTGTTTTTCCACCTCAATAAGCTCCAACTCCAACATGATCCGCTCTCTTTCAGTCGCCATTGCTTGTAGTAATCTAGCCGCGAGGATCTAAACACAGTGGAACATTAAAACCCTCCGCCGCCAACTAGCGTTTTGGAGCAGTACTGCAGAGCAACCAAGACCTGAATGCAGAAGTATAAATGCTTACGACGGCGTAGCCTACGCCGTACACTACCTCGACGCAGAAGTATAAACGGGCCTTTAGAAACAGCGGTATTCTGTCTCTCTCTCTCTTACTTAGTCACACACAGCTCAAAACTTACGAAAAATAATAAAGTTTTCATAAAGTTCGGAAAGGTTTAAGCGAATTCGCGGGCTTTATCGCCCTGGTTGCCGCTTTGCTTGATGTTACTCTTGCAGTGTGTGGTCTCGTCCGCCAGAATTTCTCACAAATGCTCCACGAAGGCATTATTTATGTCTTTTGGAATGTAGTTGGCTTATATGTTAAAAATGTGAAAATCACTGAAGGCTGATTTCAATTTACAAAAATACTTTTGTGAAGAGCGGTCGCGCATGCGGCTGTGAGCGACTCATTGGTTAATGTACTGGCATCTCAAAATGCTTTTATGACGCAAAGTTAGTGTAAACATGTCATTCATATCTTAAAACAACAGGACAAACCACATCTTATATTTCAAAAGGAATCTGTGCATTAGCGTGAATGCAGTTTATCGTATTTAAACTAAGAAGACAAATCACTCACGGCTCTTGAATGGAAACCGTTCAGACGGCGACTTCTAAATACTGAAAACACTTTATTGCTTTTTTTTTGTTCCTTGTTGCCTATTTGAAATTCTTAAATTTTTTAATAATAATTTTTCTTAAATATGTATAATTAGTAGGGCTGTGCAAAAATTAATTGCGATTAATCGTATCCAAAATAAAAGTCTGTGTTTACATAATATATTTGTGTGTGCTGTATATAATTATTTTGTATATATGAAGAGTTCAGATGCAAAAGCCTCTAAATGCCATTTGAAATTTTCTTCTTTAATGATGATTTTTATCAAACTTGTATATTTAAGTTCAGTAATTTCACTTAAATAACAATTAATAGGTAATTATCATTGCCATTTAAGTGAAATCACTGAACTTAAATATACAAGCTTGATAAAAATGATCATTCTAGAANTGTACTGAGCTGCTTCATGTCAATCACTGTATGATGTATGCTTTCGAATCAGTACTGTGAAACGAAGACCTGATAGCTAGGACTGTAATTATAGCTTGTTGGGATAAGTGACCCACTGTGGTGCATCGGTAAGAATGCAACTGGATGCTCTGACTCTCTTGAAGGGTTTTATTGACAGCCAACAGATGATTGTCTGTCTTCTTAAAATGTACAGTATGTGTGTGGTTCTACAACAACAATAAAGAAAAGAAAAATATCAGCATACAAATAACAAAATGCTGTCAGGATACAATTATTAAAGCTAATACTTGTCATTTAGTATAATCTTCACTTCAGGTAACTTTAGCTATTTAAATCAAATAAACAAAATAATATACCAGCACACATTAGCTTATTATTAAACTAAACAGCCTTCTCTCAGTAACAACAACAACCAAAAACACATAGTTCTCGACTACATAATCATTATAAACACTCCATGAATAACTATGCAGTATCAGATTAATACTCATAAGCACAATAGTAGTGTATTACTAATAATACTAGGCATTAATGTGCTGTTAGCGAACTTTAAGCTAACAATACTACATTTCAACTGAGTACCTCAGATTAAGCAACACTCATAAATACCCTAATACACCAAAATACACATATGTAAAACATTCACCAGGGTACTCACATGTCTCTGAACGCACACATGCACGGATCACAGCACAGATGACTGATTTATTAACTATTCTCCTCAGAAATATCTACGATGGGCTTCCCGGCCACTCTCACCGTTAACTCAAAACGAAACCTATCAGTTCGCGCAAAAACGGGTGTCCTCTCCGTGACTCCAAAACAAAGGCGCTGATTGGCTGATCCCCGTTACCAAGACATTAATAACGAGTCCTTCTTTACAGCCGCCCCCAAATTTGCACAGTCAAATTTGCTGTCCCAGAGAAGGACTATTGGTCTCAGGTGCTGTCTCAGGTATGGCAGGAAGTGGAACAAGACGGGCAACTGGCCGGGTGTAAGTTCTGTTGTTCACCTGAATCTCTGCTGTCCTAATCCTCCCATCTGCACCTGGGATAACCTTAGTGATGCGGCCAATAGGCCAAAGTGCCCTCGGGAGTTGTGGGTCAACGATCATGGCAACAGCCCCAGATTGTAGTGGGGCCACTTCTTTCTGCCACTTGGTGCGCGTCTGCAAGGCAGGAAGATAGTGCCTAATAAATGTCCTCCAGAATTGGTCAGCGAGGACCTGCGTATGCCTCCAGCGGCGGCGGCTCAACAGCTCGGACTCTGGATACAACACTTGAGGCAACGATGGGTCGGGCCGCCCCATCACAAGCAGATTGGGGGTTACTGGGTCAGGGTCTGCAACGTCACTGGATACATACCCCAAGGCTTAGAGTTTAGGATGCCCTCTATCTCGATCAGAACCGTGCGCAGGACTTCTTCTGTCACTGTCTGCATCTGGATCGTAGCATACAGGGCAGCTTTGATAGATTTGATTTCCCTCTCCCATGCACCACCAAAGTGAGGCGCACTTGGAGGGTTGAATCTGAACTCAATCTGATGTTTGGCCAGTTCTGCTTGTAAAGTGGGGTGCAGTGCCTTGAAAGACTCGTGGATTTCCCTCTCTCCCCCTCTGAAATTTGTGCCCTGGTCCGACAGAAGCTCCGCTGGTTTTCCTCTGCGTGAGATGAATCTGCGGAGGGCCATCAGAAAGGAATCCTGGTCTAGACTAGTCAGGACGTCTATGTAGACAGCTCGGGTAGTAAGGCACTTAAATAATATACCCCAACGCTTCTCATTACGCCGTCCGATTTTGACCATGAAGGGCCCGAAACAATCTGTTCCTGTAGAGAAGAAAGGTGGTTTCATTAACCGCAGGCGGGCAAGAGGTAAGTCTGCCATTTGTGGCACTGCAGGCTTTGCTCTCCATCTCCGACAATCAGGGCAGGAGTGCTGATGCCGCTTCACAGCTTCTCTTCCCCGAAGGATCCAGTACCGTCGGCGAAGCTCTGCAAAGAGTCGCTCTGAGCCTGGATGACGAAGATCACGGTCAGCATCTTGTATGATGAGTTTAGTCACCTGGTGAGCTGGGTCCAGAACTATCGGATGAATGGTTTCTGTGTCCAGAAGTCACTGCGACGCAATCTGCCTCCAACCCGGATCAGCTGCAGTCGATCATCATATTCAGGGGCTAATGTAATCAACCGGCT